CTGCTGCTTTGTTCATAGTGGTTACAGGCATGCATTCTTTTTGTCTACTTCTCACAATATACCTCAAACCGGGAACAAATTTAGTCCGCTTTATGTTTAATTAAATTATTGTTGCTCCATCTTATAGGTAGCACTCCACTTAGAGATTATAAGAGCATTGTCATTGTCATTGTCATTTTCTATTTCCAAGTTGGCAAGTTCAGTTATGCTTTCCCCAATTAAGTAAAAAAAAAAAAAAAAAAATACTGATTCGATCTGAGCTCTTGGAAGGTGAGTAACATGTAAGAACCTGCCCTTGGGAAGGGAACAACAATTGGAAATGGCTGAAAATTATGGCTCCTGATCCATCTCCACACTTCAAAGAAAATAAGGAACAATTCCATTTTCATGAACGATTGTTTGGTCTTCAAATCTTTGGCACACTAGCATTGGCTGTGTAGGTAGACTCAAGTTTGGTTTGGTTTTCAGAATCAGTAATCTGAAAATTTTATGAAAAACTAAAAGCCTTGTTTGGCATAATCTACGATAGTACAAAAAATCAAAAAGTTATTAAAAAAGTCAAAGAGTCCCTACTATTTGGGGGAAGCGTGTGGGGGAAGCCTAGAGGGTAAAATTACAATTTTGCCTTTTGAATTCAATAGCCCAACAGTGCAGCTCGGTGCTCCAGATTACTTTGCATCTACATTTTCCCAAATGCAATGACGTGGCACAATGTAAGCCACGAATTCCCATTAAAAAAAAAAAGAAATGCACAGAATGAGAACAGTGCTGCTGCATGTGTCAGGAAGGGTAGAACGATAATTTTGATATTTGCTATAATATTTTATTACACATTTTTTCATAAAAAGTCAAAAAGTTATCCCAAATATATATATATTTTTCTCTATTTTTTTAGCTAAAAAGTCAAAAAGTGCATTTATATAGCACATGGTGTAAAAAATAAAAAATAAATAAAAAAATACTCATCATTTTCATGTTGTTCTATCTTTTTGGGGTGCAGAATAATTTGTATAAATTTTGAAAATATCTTTTAGGTGTTTATTTTTTGTCAAACTAATTTCTACTTTTCAAAAAAAAAAATTTGAAAATGAAATCAAACATTTAGGGTATGTTTGGTAACGTTTACGTTTTCAGTTTATATTTACAAAAATTTTATAAATCAAAAATTTTACCAAACAAGTTTTTATTTGAGTTTTTAAAATTTTTGTAAATATAAACAGAAAACTGAAAACGTAAGTGTTACCAAACGGCACCTAAGTGTTACCAAACGGCACCTTATATTCTGGATTCCTATTTTTCTAGCTTCTCTCTACCAACTGTTTGGATCCACACACGACGACTTGGTTAGTCATTTTTTTTTTGAACCCACTTGGTTAGTCATTTGTTTTGAGCAATTTTGGCCAATATTAGTGTTTTTTTTTTTTTTTTTTATATTTAAAGTACCTAATAAGTGCAGTCCTGTCTTAGTTTCTGTATTTTATATGAGAGTTTGAATTATGTTGACTACAGGTATGCAAGTTCGTTTTATGGTCCATTTCATGAAGCACTAGACTCAAATCCATGATGTGGGGACAAGAAAACGTACGTGGCTCATCAAATTTAAGAGTTTAAATCTTTTTTGGGGTGTTATTTCAGTATATTGTACTCTATTATTGCTACTGCTCACTTTTGCATATGCCTTGTATTCAAAAGTTATCAGATGAACCCGGCCAATTATAGAGAGGCTTTGGTTGAGGCCCGTGAAGACGAGTCTGAAGGAGCTGATATCCTTCTGGTTGGTGTTTTTTTTCTTCTTCTTTTGATCATGTAGTTAGTTGTGGAACTGCTTGTTATGCAGAAGTTTACTTTAATTGGGTTGCAGGTAAAACCAGGCCTTCCTTACTTGGATATCATCAGGCACTTACGTGATAGCTCCCCTTTGCCAATTGCGGCATATCAGGTAGTCTCAACTTCATTTCGTTCTCCTTTTTCTTTTCTTTTCTTTTTTCTGATCATTAAAACTTCAGTAGGAATTATATTTCCTAGAAAATATTAATGCCCTTTTGGACACATGTTGCTAAACATGGTAAACTTTTGTTCCAAAACACTAATTTAAATGCATGAAATGCATAATATATAATAAAAAAATATTTAATTTACATTTATTATATATATATATATATTTCTATTTCTATTTAAAATTGAAATATGTGAAAGATGAAAAAGTGAAGAAATAAAATTGCTTCTATTTCATTTACTTTTCCCTCCCATTTTCTTTTTTCTCCATAAATCCTAAATCCAATCACAGTGTTGAGCTTCAAATAACAGTAATATTAAATCTGTGAAAAAGAATGCATTAGGTTTTGAGAAGAAAGAAAATAGATGATATACATGATTTGATGGATCCAATATACAAATAGAGAAAATAAAAGATACGCGGGGTTGTTCTTTCCTCCCTAAATGTGTCTTTCAGTTTCCTTTGCTACCCTTTGATTTGGTTTTGTTTTCCATTTTCATTTTCTTGGATCCAGGTTTCGGGTGAATACTCAATGATTAAAGCTGGTGGGGTTCTGAAAATGATTGATGAGGAAAAGGTCATGATGGAGTCGCTGATGTGCCTCCGTAGGGCTGGCGCTGACATCATCCTCACATATTTTGCTCTACAAGCTGCTAGATGTTTATGGCTTGGTTTGGGAAGTGGGTTGGCTTTTTGGCTTTTTGGCTTTTTTGGCTATTTTAGCCTGGGCTTAAAAGCTTGGTTTGGGAAGGACTTTTTGGCTTTTTGGCTTTTTTGAGTTTTTTTGTGAGAGAAGAATGTAATGATTATGGGTTGGATGTGATGTTTTGTTTGTTATGGCTAAAATAGCCTATTTTGTTTTTTGTGGCTAAAATAGCCAAAAAAGCCTCCAACCTCACTTGCCAAACAGAGGTTATGTGGTGAGAAAAGGTGAGACTTAATGATAGAAATTGCATTTTGCTTAGTTTGTTGGCTTCAACAGAAATTTAACCTCATATACTTAATGTGTTTGTTCTTTCCTCCCTAAATGTGTCTTTCAGTTTCCTTTCCTTTCCTTTGATTTGGTTTTGTTTTCCATTTTCATTTTCTTGGATCCAGGTTTCGGGTGAATACTCAATGATTAAAGCTGGTGGGGTTCTGAAAATGATTGATGAGGAAAAGGTCATGATGGAGTCGCTGATGTGCCTCCGTAGGGCTGGCGCTGACATCATCCTCACATATTTTGCTCTACAAGCTGCTAGATGTTTATGTGGTGAGAAAAGGTGAGACTTAATGATAGAAATTGCATTTTGCTTAGTTTGTTGGCTTCAACAGAAATTTAACCTCATATACTTAATGTGTAAAGTTTCCAATAAAATGCTTGTCAATTTCTTATGATCAGCTTGTTGTATCACTGTAGGCAGTACAAGTATGTCCTAAGGTAACAAAAGTTGTTTGATGAAGGGGAAAAAGATTAAAAAAAAGAAAAAAAAAAGAGGTGAAAATGAAATTGGTTCTCACTTTGTGTGACATGGATATATTTTTTGTTCACAAATTGAAACTGTGATTGTTTTATTGTTGTTACTTTCGTGCCACTGTTGTTATATAGTTATTTACTCAATATGTTGTTATATAGTTATTTACTCAATATGATGAATTTGGATATTCCAACTCTTTTTTTGAAGGGGATATTCCGACTCTGAAGTATAGCCTTAATCCTCTGAATTCAATTTGGTATTCAAGCACGGTAGGTAACGGTATCAGGTGTTTTCCTGTTGGAGTTGGACTTAAAAGCCATGAATGCTGGGAAAAAGTTCTCTCTCTCTCTCTCTCTCTCTCTCTCGGGATGACGGAGATCTCCAACTGACCCATCTTATCATTCGGTGTAAAAGGCCTTTTGGGAACAGCTGAAATGACCCGTGCAACATGTGGTCTGCCATTTATGGATTGAGGAGAATTATTGAAGCTCTGGAACAATCTGGTTTTGAAGTAGTAACCATCCTTAGTACAGTACATATACTTTCCTTATTTTTGGAACATTGTAAACAGTAGCCTCTCTTTTAGTCCACCCCTAATTAACTATGCAAAACTGCTGAAATTCATTACGTATAATTATTTGAAAATAACAGTTTTTTTTTAAGCCAAATCTTCCCCCCAACACCAATTTTTCTTTTTTCGGATTTGAGGTAGCTGCTCTGCGGGGGTGTACAACAGTCACTGTTGTGCAGTCAAATGGGCCCATTTTGGGGTCCATTTCGATAATTCGAATCGTTCACATTTTAGAATACATCAAGTAAAAAATAGTTGCAAAAAATCAAGTTCATCGGATATCGTTTATCCTTTCATCCACTCACATTTGTATCTACAAAAATAAATAAGAATTGTGATTTAAAGTATTAAATGTGAGTGGTTAATTGGATTTTTTGTAGGTATGTTTTACTTGATGTATTCGAAAATGTAAACGGTTTGGATTATCGAAATATGCTCCCAAATAAGCCCATTTGGTTATACAACAGTAACTGGGCACAACAGTCACTCCAAATCTCATTTTTTTTTCTCTCCTTACACTTGTTGGACCCAACTGGACAACTACCACTCACCAACATCGTCTCTTGTCTCCGTGTATCTCAAACTCCATCGCTATTGATCACAATCAGAAGTCCTTGTAATTGTCAGAGTTTGATCAACTGAATACTGTCTATATCCTCAACAAGCAATTTTGCTCCATTGACGACTGGATGTCTCTCTCTGTCTTTGAGCATCAAATTGTGACTAGCAATTGAAAATCAAAATAATTTGGTTGGAGGTACACAATGGGGTTGAGGTGGTGGTTTAGTGATGGTGGTGCACAAGCACAAGACAAAAAGGAACAAATAGAGATTAAATTTTGGTAATGTTACTTGCTATTTGCTTATGAAGTTTGAACACCCATCTCTTTTAAGACCATTTGCGCAACATTTTTAAAACTGAAAGTCAGCTTAGAATAGAAGCAACCATCCATAGGGAACTACTATTACTTCAAACATTTGGCCCAAAAAAAGCTTCATACATTAACACTTGCGAGTACTTTACATATACATAATTAAATCACAAAAAAATATTAAAAATATTTATGCTAACCCAATGGGACCACTTTAGATGAAATACTGAGGATACCTCTAGTGGTCTCATTGTTTAAACATGTACAATTTAAAATATTTTTACTAGATAGAAAAGGCAATGGGGGCAATCAGCTCGCGACAACTGCTCAGAAGAGCCACTACCCGTTGGAAAGTCGAACAAGAGAAGCCTATACCAACTTAGTAATGTAGGGATCTACAGACGCTCCTTGAAAAAGAACTTGAATCATAGCAGGACTCCGCTCCCACCAAAAAACATAATAGCAAACATTTGGTGGCCAAGATTAGTAGTCAAGAGTCTCGCACCCGAACGTCATCCCAAGAGACTCAATCCCCATATCCTCTGAAAATTGATACTTTTCTGTAATTTAATTATGTATTATGCAAAACTAACTTTTTACACTATTGAAATGAAAGTCCTTCAATTTTTTATTTTTATTTTACCCATCCTCCTTAACTCAATCCTCGTTAGAGAACAAATTATTTTAATAATTTTTTGATTTTTTATGAAAAGATGTGCAAAAAAATAAAGAGAGTAATGTGACAATTTATAGTAATTTTTTGACTTTTTAGTTAAAATGTATAGTTAACAAACAAAGCCTCCGTAGTAAAAAAAACACAACCTTAGGGTAGGTACGTAGTTCATCTTGAATTCATCATCATCTGTGCTCATTGAGATATCTTTCTGCAATGGCAGCATGAGTTGCCGCACCTACTGGTAGAGCATCTTCATCGATCATGAAGTGAGGGGAGTGACCGGAGTGTATTGACCCCAACGTTTCGTTCCTTATCCCAATATAGAAGAAGGCTGCAGGGACAACCTCTGAGTAAAAGGAAAAGTCCTCTGCACCCATCATTGGCGGAACCACCCTGAAATTCTCTCTTCCCACCAAATCCACTGCCACCTTCCTCACATGCTCGTACATCTTCTCATCGTTCACCGTGGGAGGATAAATTGTGTACTCTTTCTCAAAGAAATCAATTGTCGCTGAGCACCTGAAAACACCGGCTTGTTCTACAATTACCTATTTAGTGATGTTTTTCAACAAGGGGTTAGAAAATGGAAAGAACAACACTGCAAGTAAAGATTGTTTTCAGGCACATATGGTGGATAGATAGATATGGTACCTCCTCTATTCTTTTCAGAAGTTGGTAAAAGCTTGTGTTGGAGAAAGCTCGAAAAGTGCCGCCGATGACGACGGTATCCGGTATCGCGTCGAGATTGTCACCTCCATTGAAGGAAGTCACTGATACCACCTGATAGTTAAAAAGATCAAGTGGAACTCAATCAGCAAGATATTGATCATGTATTGAAATTTTTGAGTGAGAATGAGAGTAATCTAGCTGCCTAAAGTTGAATCACCCTAGTAATATGGATAATTAATTGGTACTTAGGCCTTATTTGGTCCAGTTTATGGGCGGCTTATAACTTCTTTTTTTATTATTTTATTATTTTATTAAAAAAATTTATGCCATAATATTTAGTGCCGCTTCTGTTTATAGAAATAATTTACATAAGCTGAAAAAATAATCATTTAAAAGCAAGGAATGAGTGCTTTATGCTTTGCTTTTAATTATTAGATTTTAGCTTGTAAGAAGTTGTATGATTAATTAGACTATTTCACTTAGGGATGTAATTGGTTTGAGATGGTCGGTGTTTAGGTAAAATTTTATACCAAACCGATAATGTCGGTTTTAATATATTGAGAACCGATATAGGCCGAATTTGTCACCAAACCCCACCGATTCAAACGGTTTGACTCGGTTCGGTTTAATCGGTTTAAGTATTTTTAAAATTGAGTCATTTATTAAATTTGTAGTATAATAAATAATTTATATAAAAACATTAGATTAGAAATTTGTACACAATTTCAACCATATCCAATCCAACCATTCACAAAAATACAAACAAAAAAAATTAATATATATTAAGGCTTGACACTGTTACTGAATTAGAATTTTAAAAAAAAAATTATAATCTAAGATCCAAAATCTGGACATCAAAACAAACCAAAACTTATGTAAAAATTTCGGTCGATTTCAGTAGAAATCGGTGTACAAGATGTCTAAATCGGTACCGAACCGAAAATAAATAAAATTTAATTTTCAAAATTGCATAGGGATTCGTATTAAAAAATCGATCAAATATGACCGGTTCGATCTAGTTCAATCGATTTGGTCGATTTTTTCAATTTTTCTTATATCTCTAGTTTCACTCAATATTTGTTCGCTTTCTCGATCCCATTTACATTCAATCATCTTTACTAAAAAATACTCAAAAACTGTCACATCGTCATCGCTATGATTTTGATAGTCATGAGAGGGAGCGGGGGAGAATCATCACTTGTTTCTGCATCTTTCTATCTTCCTAATCATGCTGCTTTTTAATTATCTATAGTAGTCAATGTAATCACTCATTTTCGGTTCCATTAACATCCAATCTCCCTATAGTACCAGCACTTGGTGCTTCTTAGTGAAAATAACAGTTAAAAACCGAAGGAATAATTGACATGAAAAATTGGATCACAAGTTCACCTGAGAGTCAAGCGGATTGGCCTCACGAGACACAATCCCTTGTAAGCTGATTACAGAAGCCGAGGCAGCCAAAACAGGGTCAACAGAGCGGTGTGGATTTCCTGCACTGCCCTGTTTCCCCCTGATCACAGCTCTGAAAAAACCACAACCTGCTAGCAAAGGACCAGGCCTCGATCCAATCACAGCAGTTGGGTGCTGATGGGATACATGAACTGCAAATATAGCCTCCACGTTTTCGAGAGCTCCATCGCTTATCATCCGTTTTGCTCCATTCCCTGCTTCTTCTGCTGGCTGGAACAGCAATATCACTGTTCCCTGCAGTACCAATAGTGCGGATTATGTTGGAAAACTAACCAAAGTGGGATCATATAGGAACTTTTTTTTTTTTTTTTTTTTTAAATAAATAAATAAATAAATAAATTATCAAATTTGTGAAGCATAAACTCTTCTTTCCATAGTACAATTAACATTGCAGTTGCAATAAAAATGTTATGGAAGAAATAGTCATGTGTCAAGTTATCAAACTTAACCAAAGTAAGGCAGGAACATTGACATTGACAATAGGTCTTTCCAGGCAGTTACGAACAGTCTACAAAAGTTCTTGATACTAATTCCACCTTACTTCACTCAAACTGCTGTTGGTTGCAGCAGCGACACTAAGCACCAAAAAAAAAAAAAAACCTGAAAATGAAAGGTGTGGGTAAGATTTATTAGGCGTGTGAATCTACGGCATATGCTTGTTTGTTTTTAAGCACTTTTTCTGGGTACATAACTTCTTTTCCGTACTGGCAATCTGATTCACCTTCCTTCCTTCGTTCATTCTTTTCTATTTTGATTCAATATTAGCATATTAGGAATCCACTCCATTCATGCTTTGAAAGTCACCATCTGGTTTAACATGGTATCTAAAACCCATCCTGTGTTCTTTCACAAAATCAATTTGAAAGAAAGATGTAACAGATTAGCCAAAAATCACGAAGGGTAGTATTCAAAAATTATATTTTTAAATCAAGGATTGATCCACTAGTAGCCCATATGAAAGCTTTAAAAGTCACTATCTAGCTTAACAATGAATCTAGAGCCCATCCCCTACTGTCCATAAAATCAGAATACCCTTATGACATGCAACAATCCTAAAGTATGAAAACAAAAATACAAAAAGCAAAAAATAGGCATAAAGGCATAAAGTTTACAAGGTTTCATGATCCTAACTCTTTTCGGTAATACTACGAATCCAGACTTAACAATCTAGAAATTACCTATAATTATCATCTTGTGATTCAAATTTATTCGACATATGGATTTTATACTACACAAATTTAATCTCTACCACACAACTACCTACTCAAAATAATTTGGGTGGATAAGTCTGGGGCAGTAGACTTTTTCTGTTCACAATCTTAGAAAGCTAGGGCTCAAATCTTGGAGTTTCTTCCCTTCTCACCCTTGAAAACATACGCTAATTTTCACATCTCCTAAAACCTGACTCCTCTATGACAAGGTAGTAACTGGTGTTTGAAGTGCACATGGTGCCATGGGCCACCATGCATGTGATCAGTCAAAATCAAAATACTAAACCAAAGGTATAACACAACCTTCAAGAATTGAAAGATGAAATGAATTTTTTCCCCGATTTTCTTTTTCCCATCACTCTCAGAGCCTTAGCACCCGTTTGAAATTTAGCGTTTTCTATTTTCATTTATTCAAATACACATAAAAACTTCTTTGGCCAATTATTTTCGAAACATTTAAAAAATAAAAATAAAAACAGCTAATATTCTGATTGTGATAGGTGCTTTCCAACTTTTTACAATTTGTTTCGGAGAACACAAGAAAACAAAGATACAAATGAGGCAATTGTTTAATGGTTGTGATTGTGATTTTAATGCAAATCTTCATCAAAAAGGGAAATGATGTATACAATTCTGAATCAGACGGCACAGAAAGATGACGATGATACAACAGGGGTCATGTTGGCATTATATGTTGTTGGATGACCACACTATAATGTGACCCATTTGCCCAGCAAAGCTTGAATTCAACAAGAAGAGCCCAAATGCTAACCAAAACTAGGCTGAAAGAAAAGCATAGGTAATTGGTAGCTGTATATACAAATATAGGGAGTTAGGAAAAGTCTAGGACCACATAATGCATAAATGTGACATACATGTATATTCACAATTATAAATGTAAACATTTTTTATATCACATTTGTGTATTATTTAGAACGTTTTGTGTTCTTACCGTAACCCAAGAAGTTATGCAAGCTCCCACGCTTTTTCCCAATAATAATTACAAAATGTTTCCAATACGAAAAGGTTTCCATAACAACTTGGACAATATCCCTTACCTTTTTGCCACAAAAAGTGGAATTCTGTTGCAATTATGATTGATTTGTATCAGTAAAATAGTGTAGGATTCTCCATGTTTTCCCCATGCTTTGATAAGTATAATGTTTACCTTTAATATTATAATAAATAAACAAAAACATATAGAATATTTGAATAAAATGATGAAGTTGCATTGTGGGCCATCAATTCAACACAAAGAACCTATACAAGCATAAAAAAGCATACCAAAAATTTATATAAATCAATATGGTTGCGTTGCGACCCATCATTTTAAAACAAAAGATCTGAAAAGATGTCTATTAATTATAAAAATATCACTGTCATATTATTTTAGTGAAATAATCCATTTGAAATTTTTCTGTAAAAATAGCTTTTTCTCATATAAAATAAATGTAAACTCTACTCACCCCAAAAATTTATTCCCCAAAATGAAAAAAAATAAAGTGATTGAGATTTTAATTAATATATTATGAGAATAAATCTGTGTCATATATTAATGTATTAGGTAATACTTTAGATATGTAAGAATCACTGTAAAATGAACACTACAGGTTCAGCGTCAACATATATGTGAAGAGTTTTCTGAAAAAATCAAATATGTTAAGTTGTGCAACTTTTCTTTTCCCAAAATAATCTTTACGAAAACTGATAATCCAGCCAAGATGAACAACCGAAAGGCAATAATGTATATAATATTCTATTCATTTAAAATCATTGAATATTTCCTCGTCTCAGAAAACTCTTTATCTTGAATTATCAGTTTCTCCCCTCATAAATCAGAACATGGGTAATTATTAGGGAGTGAAAGAATTATAAACACCGCAATGAGCACAACGCTGCAGTTTTTTTCTTTGACAAAAGCTCGGGGATTGGTTTCTCGTGATATCGATTAAGCTAAAGGACGTGCACCATATACATCTTATAATTAAATAAAAAAATAATATAATTTCATACTTTTTGAGTTGTAACTAAAAAGAAAAAAAAAAAAAAATTACCAAACACTATATTAGGCATAGCATAACCAAAGATTTTAAAATAATGTTATAATTAAAAAAGAAAATTGATCATAATAAAAAAAATGATATAACTAAAAATGCGATGTGTATGATAGAACATGATGCACTGTCCTTTTATTAGTATATTCAGGGGCGGGGCTATGTGTAATTCAGTGGTGTCAATTTACACCACTGAACTTTCAAATTTTGTTTAAATATATATGAAATTTTGTTTAATAGTTTTGAATTTTAACAAAATGAACCCAGTAAATCTAGATAAATATCACATATATTTGGAGCTATTCATTATTTAGTAGTGTCAATTTTAGCTTAGTGTTCGTTTATTCATTCATTTGCTCCATCAACGCTTCATTCTCTAACAACCATTGTTGCATTCCTTCATTTGTTCTCTCTCCCCCTCCCTCTTCCTCTCTCTCTAAATGACCCCACTGAGAAGAATTCCTGATTAAGACATTGAATATATTCATAAGCAAACAAAAACACAAAACATATATATAGATGCAACAAAATGGGCTTTAACTTCCAAAGCTCGATACTATCACAATTTATTATCTTCAATGACATATAGCTAATCACATAAAAAAGTTAGTGAGTAGGTAACATAAGAGACAAAAGTAACAAGAGGTAGTAGTAATTCCCCAAAAAACAAAAAACAGTTAAAAAAATAAAAAATTGGATCAAAAGAAAAGCATTTGCAGATGAGTTGGTGGGAAATTAAAACCTTCAAATGATGTTCACGAGTTTTCAAAATTTTGGCAGCCCCAATGAGCATGGCCACGTGGGCGTCGTGGCCACAAGCGTGCATTTTTCCGGCGACTTGGCTTTTGTGCTCCCATTCGACCGCTTCCTGCAACAACAAATCCATAACCAATTTTCACTCACAAAAAGTAAAGCTAAAACATTAAAATCAACAATATGGGTAGATTTTAAATTTTTAGACAGTTTAATAGAAGAAATATATGTTATATTTTAAAAAGTATTTAGCAAATAGATATTAGAATTTAACTTTAATATTTGAATAGGAATTTAAAAACAGAATAAAAAAAAATGTATAAAATGTGCATTTCATTTCATTTTTTTTTTTTTTTTCAAATCACTATTCAAATTCATAATTTAAATAGAGAAAATAACAAATCAATAATCTTTTTTAAAAATAATTATAGATTTATGATAAATTTCAATGATTAAAACCAAATACTTTTTCATAAATCTATAATTTTTGTGAAAAACTATCACAGTCTTGCGACTTCCCCATTTAAATATAGGGCTATTTTGACAACATAGTTAAAAGTCAGCTTTTCACTTTTAATCTCTTTTAAGTCATATCACCTTTCACATTTTTTTTTATCAAAGTCAACAAAATCAAAAATTAATTTTTAATCAACTTCCCAAAATACCTCATAATCTTTTGAAAATAATAAAAGTGTGACAAAGTATCAAGTTCTATCGTGTGCTACTAGAAAGCTTAATATACATGCACTGTGTATAAAAATCTATATCATATTATTGGAAGTGTGCACGTTAGTGTAGATATGTCATTTTTATTTTTATTTTTAAAAATACCATAGGAACAATAGCGATGCCATAGATTCAACTTTTTCTTTAAAAGTAAAAAATAAAAAATATGTCAAACTGTTTAGGAATTGTTTGATATGGGCTCCTTTAATTTATCTTCTTCTTTTTTTCTTTTTTTTCTTTTTTATCTTTTTACTTTATTTAAATTACATCATCTATCTATTATATTATAAATTTTTTCATATAAAATTTAAAAATATATTTATTTAAATCAATTCAAATAACTTTATAATTTCATACCCATGTCAATTACAGACGCTAGGGTATTTGTTGTTCTAGAAAAATATAATATTGAAGAAGAAAAAAAATGAATGTCAGAAAAATGTTGAGCAAAACCATCTTGAAGTTGTAGTAAGACGTGGTGTTTTGGAAAGAAAGTAAAAAATTGATTTTTTAAATTTTTTTAATGTAAAAAAATAAAGAAAAAATGTGACTTAAAAAAGTCACAAATCAAAAAAATTGATATTTTATAAGCTTGCCAAAAAGAAAGTTTAGGATCGACTGACCGGTGGACTCGTAATGCTTTTTGTATGGTTTTTGAGAATTTTTTTTTGTGATCCGGAAAAAGATTAAAGAAAACAAAATTTAAATAAACAAGTTAGACAGTTACAAAAGAACAACTAAACAATAAGACAAGTTTGGCAAATAAACTATGCACTTTATATAATATAATAATATAATAATTATTATATACACTTACAGATATGTATGCAATCAATTAAGTGAGGTCAGGACCTGGATTGGGAGGGCGTCCATGTCGGCTCTGAGAGCGACGAAAGGCGGTTCGCCGGTGCCGATGGTGGCTCGGATTCCGGTTCCGGCCATCGGAAACCGGTAAGCAACCTCCATTCCATCCAGTTCTTGGCGGATTAGACGACTCGTCTCGAATTCCTCGAAAGCGAGTTCCGGATTCGCGTGGATTATCCGCCTGAGATCCTTCATCCACCGGACATTCTCGGGCCGCCTCGCGAGATTCAGTACCTCTTCCGAGCAAGCCTCGCTCCAAACCGTGCAGTCCAACTCCGGAGTCTCAAGACTCAGCATCTCCGCCGTTCGCCGCCGTGGACTGGTTTGGTTCTTGCGGTTGTTCTCCTCCTCCGCCGCCGCCCACTTGGAGAGGCAACTTCGTTCCAAATATGAGAAGTCATTGCCGGAGGAGGAATCTGGTTTGGCTCCGATTACTGAGATGGTACAAGTGATTAGAATAAGTGTTGAAACGATTGAGATTGAAGAGAGGAGAGATAAAATGCGAGGATTCATTTTTATTTTTAGAGAGAGAGAGAGGTGACGGAAGTGTGAGGAGGAGAGGAAAAATTATTGATCAGGTCGTGAGATATTATATGGTCATATTCTAAGTTCATTAAAAAAAAAACTTCATATTTTTTTTTTATGATATTAATCAGTCAATATAAGATTATAAATTTTATTCTCTTTATCAAATATAATGAATGTGAAGCATTGTATAATTGTCTCTGAATTAATAATGGCTTTGAGTACGAAATTTTTTATTTTTTTTAATAAAATGACACTAAAAAAATAAAATAAAATATTATATTAAATTTTTAAATATTTTTTTTATTATAAATATACATTTATTTATAAAAAAAATTAATTTTCTTTTTAAATATAATTATTTTAATTAAATTAAAATAATAAAAAATTAAATAATTTATTAAAAAGTCAACATTCAAACGAGATCAATTCTTTTCGGAGAGAGAGGAGAACGGAAGAGAAGTGAGAGAGAGAGAGAGAGAGAGGGGGAATGGAATATGAACACGTGGGGGATAACATAAGGGGAGACCCATAACGAGCACGTGGGGGAATTTGTTTGCCATATCATATACGGAGAAGAGAGAGAAGGTTTTGGGCTTAAATTAAGCGTCGAATCGCAGCAGGTGGGGACCACCACTCATACGGTGGTATAGCAGTCTTCGGATTAGACTATAGACACTGACCTCCATCTAGCCTTACGATTTTTATTTTTGTTTTTATTTTTTTTGGGGTAAAACATTTAAATAGTACACTGATAAAATATAGATTGTTTTCGTAATTTTTTTTCAGTTTGAAATTAGATTAAATTAAATTATAATGAATTGTTAGATTCTAAGGGTGTAAATCTAATCTGATCTAACTTAATTCAACTCGGCCCATGTCAGACCTCTTGGGCTCTTGTCAAAATTTAAATCGGGCCGGGTCGATCCATGGGTAAAAAATTAAGCCTAGACTTAGGGGTATTCAAGCCTTGGGTGGGCCGGTCCGGTGGGCCGGGCTTGGCCTCTGGCTTAGGCGGGCCTGATCATTGTTTTTGATTTTTTTAAAAAAATTTTTATCAAAATTTTATTATTTTTCACTAAAAAGACACTAGGTTTCGGACGGACCGGGCCTTAAGTGGGTTTTAAGTGGGCCGATAGGTTGGGCCACGGGCGGGGCTGAGTTTCAAAATGATGGCCTAAGTCTCGGCCTAGGTGGCTTAGACTGGGCTCGGGCCCAAACGAGTCTCAAAATGTCGGGCCCACCGGGCCACGGGCGGACTTCGGACCGCCCACGGGCCTTGGGCCATTTTCCACTCATATTGGATTCTATAAGTTTATTACGGAATTCATATCAATGATTTAAACTATTCAATGTGTACAACTTGTATGGTAATTTATTCTTGTAAAAAAATTACATTGATCACATATAGATATCTACTTGATTTGATCAAATTTATATCAATAATAAGTATGATTTTAGAAATAAATTGATGACACAAATATAATTTGATCAAGTACATTAATATCCGATCAACATGAATTTTTTATAAGAATGAATTATTTAACGAACCCTATAACGATATGAATTATCGAGACAGATCCAAAATAAGTCGGACTGGACCGTCCAATCGAAATCCCAACTAGAGACATTCCAAACCCTTTCAAAAATTGCATCCTCTAAGTTTTTAATTGCATAACAAATTACCTTTTTATTAATAAATTATCAGGTTAATTAATAGTTTTTATTAATGTATGAAATATATTTTAATTAACAATTCATGTAATTTTATTATGTACAAGAAAATAGTTACAAATTCTATTTCTTCTGTTAATTATGTTCAATAAAGAATTATTACAATGTGGTATTTCTAATTTCAAAGGTATAAGGGATAATTCATATTTTAAGTAAATTTTAAGGGATATATTTGTATTTTACCTTTTTTTCCCCTTGTAGTTCTCATTATTTTATGAGTAAATTATAATTTGAATGATTTTTAGAAAATTGAATTTTTTATTTTTTGTAAATATTTTAAATAAGTTATTTATTTATTATTTATTTTCACTTTTTAAACGCATCTAATCTAAATACACTTAAAAATTATAATATTTATGAAAAAATATTTAAAAAATCACTAAATATAATATATATAATTTCAATATATTCTCGTATTGTGTATTGAAATGTTAAAATAGTTTACTTTTTAAATACATTTAAAAAGTAAAAAAAAAAATCTTAAAATATTAAAAACAATTCACTAAAAATAAAAATACATGAAAAGTAAAAAAATATTTTTTAGAAAATCAACCTAAACCAAACAGGACGAATAATAATTTTTCTTTTTAATATTTGTTAAAATACAATAAACTTTTAAAATTTAGTATAATTACATTGAGTTGTTTTAATATTTTAATTTATCTAATATTTAAATTTTTTATTAGAAATTTGTTAGTCATATAGATAACAAAATAATTTGTCATATCTTCTATTTTTATGTCTTTACACCATGTGTATTAGTTTGAATCCCTTAAACTTTATTAAAATGGAAGTTAGTGTAATCATATAAACTGATAACTTTGTTAAATATTATAGAGTTTATTATATTTTCTTCAAACTTTAAAAAATGTTAGCATAATTTATTCTTATTCTATTAACGTCCTGATGTGTAAAGAAAATACAAATTAGAAAAGGGTGATTCTATATACACACCACAAATCCTCTCACTATACACAATTTTTAAAATTGTTCTTATTACATCTTTATCCCTTTAGTTAATTATATTTTTAATCTTTACACTAATGTCTCAATCCTCTCTCCACCACACCACACCAACTCCATCAGTCCTAACCCCTAAACTTAACCTAAGCCGCCACCATTCGCCGCTCGTAGCCCATCATCATCGCCATTCGGCGAATCTTGCCAATAGCCTCACCTCCATTCGTGACCAACCCGATTGCCTAACCCTGCCATCTCAATCCAGAACTCCATCTTAACCTAAACATCTTTCATTGCAGAGAGATAGAAAGAAGCCTAGGGTTTGCGAGTTATAGCAGCAGCCGTGGCGTTCGAACTCTATAGCAAGGCCACCGTGGATAACGGCGTAGCTTTCGTATTAGCCTAGGAAATCTATCATTACCTTCGATAGCTGTGTGGTTTTTTTATCCCATTTCTGACAACTTTAGAGGATTATGATTGGTGGTGAGGTGGAAGTGCAGGGGCAAGACGAAAGTGGATGGAGAAGTGACTGGAGAGAAGCAATGCTAGCTATGATAGTCATGGGCCAGCGAGAGGGTGTGTTATGACCCAAACGCGCTTCTATAGGTTTAGCATTATGACCAGCCAATAATCCTGAGATTACCTACGACCTTAATAAACAAAATCAATCTCACTATAATTTACGGGGCTTAGCGAAAGCAATATGAAACATAAAGATGAACCATTGAGCTGTGAATACATGAAAAACCTCATATAATAGCTGTGTAACCACTCTTACATATGTTCATTTATATAACATGGTAAATCTTTAGCACTTAGTATATAAGTCAAACTCCATAGTTTTAAGTTCAAAATAACTCCAAAATAACAAAACAAAAAGGTACAAAACAAAAAGTATATCACAATAGGGTTTTGACTTGCTTGGCTCCACTCAAACCCAAGCTTACTCCAACTAGGGAGCTTTTAAAACGGCTGACACAGGGGTAGACTCTGAGGCTTCTCTATCATTCATGCTCAGTTTGCTTACTTACATATACATATAAATAGTGAGCTAAGACCCAGTGAGTAATAACAGAATAAATGAGGTAAATGAATGAAGTTCGATAATGTTTCAATATAATTCTCATTTCAGTTCAATTCACAATGATCCAATAATAGCACAATGGCAATAGTCATTTCAATTGATACATTAAATAGAGTAACAATATTTCAATATCAATGGGACCACAAAGGTCGATCAATGGGACCACAACGGTTAATCAATGTTCTATATTCAATGTGACCACGAAGGTCTAACATCAGAGATCTCTATGTTTCAATTATCTAATGAGCCACGGTATTGTTTCCCCCGCGTGAGGGCCAATGGGCCATGGTATTGTTTTCCCCAGGTAGGGCCTTACTATTGGATGCCACGAACACAATTCAAAGAAGAACTTCATTCATTAAAAGAAAACAACACTCCAATAAAACCAATCATATAACAATTTTGAAAGTAAATATAGTTTGAACATATTTTTATAAAGTTACTACTCACAGTGGGTTAAATTGACGCTAGGCCTCGGACGTTCACCTATACAAAATACATAGCAAAAACATATTGAGGTTCCAAATCCATTTCACGTTTAGTTCTCAATTCAATTCACTTCTTGGATGTTTCTACATCAATTCCTTATTATTGATGTCTTAATCAATGCCTAAGAATGCTCTAATAAGTATGAGGATGCAATGATGTACTTATGAAAGCTTTTTGAAAGTTGCTGAAAATAGGGTGTTCGCTTGAGAGCGCACTTTGTCGCTCAAGCAGCCCATCAATATGCAAAGGGTTCGCTCGAGCGCACACTTTGTCACTTGAGCTGTCTGCAAAAGTACTGGATGCTTGATTTTTATGCTCAACGGTTGCTCGATAGTCGCTCAAGCCAAGTATTGAGTAAAAGTGTGTTCGCTCGAGCGTATATTTGGTCGCTCGAGCCATTGTTTAATTGTTTGCAAAATTATTAGGAGCTTGAAATGTACGTTCGAGCGACACTTCCATCGCTTGAGCGAACTGCTCAAATTATGGAATTTTCAAAATTGTGTTTGAAGTTCAAACTTGCAATTTCATGGTTCAAACTTTGCATGGTTGGTACAAAAACATAGTAAATCATTTTCGAACATGAAAACATAGTCAATTTGAAACCAATTGCTCAAAATCATGCTCCAAATTCCAAATTCAAACTTAAATCATGAAGTTGAAACCATGGATGACAAGAATTGCACTCTTTTCGTTTCAAAACTCCCATGTATGAGATGAGAAGTGTTAGAACTATGAAAAATCTTCAAAAATGTCAAATATAGCTTCAGGCATGTGGAAAATTTCATGGAATTC